GGGGGGGGGGGGGGGGAACCAAACTTTGTGCATAAAAAAGTTTACAAACTTTGCAAAACACCAAATTTATGTCACTGCCAAAACTTTTGGCCATGAATGTAAGCTGCTTTACTTGACTGCACCTTGTGAAATGCACCATACTACTAATTATTTTGTTTATTGAAGTTCTATTTACTTTTTTTCAAGTTTGACAGCGCAATTTTAATGCTTTAAATATGGGGAAAAAGGGCAGCGTGCACATTAATTCTCACTTAATGTTTCAAGCAATAAAAAGTCGTAAAGGTTTGGAAGAACATAAGGGTAAGTTAATGGTGTCAGAAATTACTGTCATCATTTACACACCGGTCATTGAGATCTCTGTTTGATCACATATTAATAATGCAATCTTAATGTTTGAAATGCCTTACCATTTCATCTTTCTTCATGTCTCAGGGAACAATGTGTCTATAAGGACAAAGTTCTAAACATTGGTATAATAATTAACTTAATTATACCAATGAGGCAGTGTCAGTTTCACATGTTTTGCTTGGTCTGCCATTACTTGCTGTCCTGCTGCCCATTGTTTGAGCTTTGCACCCTTCATGAAATGCAAATCTCAAAGTACTCTTTCCTTTCACAGAAATTGGCAGCAGAATGTGTCAGTAGTGGATTCAGCGGCACTCTGATCCCATATAAATGTGATCTGTCTGTAGAAGACGACATGTTATCCATGTTCTCCTGGATCAAAGTTCAACATCAGGGCATTGACGTATGCATTAATAATGCTGGTTTGGCTCTCCCAGAGCCTCTACTGAGCGGCAAAACCAGTGGCTGGAGGACTATGATGGATGTATGTGAATCACAGAATAAATAAGTATGCATTTCTGTTCTGAAAACATGCAGCTAGAGATTGTGTGATGGTAGTTGTCTTCAAATTTTGCAGGTGAATGTCATTGCTGTGTCAGTGTGCGGCCGTGAGGCTTACCAGTCCATGAAAGAAAGAAAAGTTGATGATGGTCATATCATTAATATTAATGGGTACTGTAATGTTTTATTTTTAGACATATTTATATTGCTACCTGTGCCATGCACCAAGCAATTCAATATCTTTAAATATCTTACTATGTTTTAGTATGTGTGGACATCGTGTCCTCCACAATGCTGATTTACACTTCTACACCGCTTCCAAATATGCAGTGACGGCTCTTACAGAAGGTCTCCGGCAAGAGTTACGAGAGGCCAAAACCCACATACGTGCCACAGTAAGAGCAGAAGGATAAAGAAGTAATATGATTATTCAAAATAAAACTTGTCTAAACACTTGTTGGCACTAAGAATTCTTTTATTACAGTCTATATCTCCTGGTTTAGTGGAGACGGAGTTAACCTATCGGCTCTTTAGTCAAAACCCAGAAAAGGCTGCTGCTACCTATAAAAGCATAAAGGTATATACAAATCCTGTTTCTTGTCTACAGAGCATGTTGTAGGTCATTGTTTACCTTTTACAATTATATTTACAGTGCCTGCAAGCAGTTGACATCGCAAACGCAGTGTTGTATGTCTTGAGTGCGCCTCCTCATGTTCAAGTAAGCATCATCCATCACTGGAGAAACTATTGCGCTGTTAATGTCTGCTGGCTTTATGACATTGGCCTAACCATGAACTTTTTTAGAAATAGAAAATTGACTTTCCTTTGCTCTCTGTAGATTGGTGACATTCAGATGAGGCCTGTGGAGCAGCTGACATAAACTGTACAGAGAAAGAGAATGAAGCATCTCTGACATAACGTCTTTAACAAACATCGTAAAAGTTTGCACACAATCAGAGACCAGGAATGTCCAATATATTCCTATGTTGTAAATAGTAATTGTCAAGTCTTTAAATCTTTTGAAATGCATTTGTTAGAACACAAAACACTGTTCTGTTTCATCATGCTGTTTACTTTTTTCATTGTGACTGAAATTATTTAAAGTTTAATGTACCAGTGTTAACTATTTTGAGACACTTTAGGTGCTTAATAGCTCTCTCTGGTTTTATGTTTAAAAAGTGCCAACTATACAATAGAGAGCAGATATAATCAAAACTAAAAAGTTACTTTTTATTACTTACCAAACATGGCTTTATGTATTTGAACCTGCATATCCATATTTGTATTTTAAAGATATAGAGGGATTTCCTCACCCTCAAATTGCTCCAAACCTGTATGCATTTCTTTCAGCTGTTGAAGAAATTCTGAAGAATGTTGAAAACCAAACAGTTAACGGTTGCCATTGACTTCCATATATGCAAAATATATATATATGGAAGTAAACTGTTTGTTTACCAACATTCTTTAGTGTTCAGCACAAGAAAGAAGCTCATACAGGTTTGAAACAAGTGGATGGTAAGTAAATGATGACAGAATTTTTATTTTTAGGCGAACTATCCCTTTAAATAGTTCTTAAGTATTGACCCAGAGGGAAAGTGGAGACTGGACGTTTTAGGGTCATTTCAAACAGAAGTAGCCTAACCGTTGGCACTTAGAATCCTCTGCAAGAATATCTAAACACGCCAGGAGTGTTTTATTTTGATTTGCTGTTATTTTTTAAATTTTGTTTCGTGATAAAACAAAATTAAAGCTCTTGCAAATAATTTGGGGTCGTTGGAATAAATGCGACTGCGAAATCTTGGAGTAAAAAATCAGGTGCTGTGATGCAGCATAGCTAGTAGAATAGGAAGTGCATTGCTATTGGCCAGTTCGTCCGGGAGTGTTCGTTTACATAGGGGATTGCAGTGAAGATCACTGGCAGCAGATTTTCTGTAAGAGTTGTATGAACTTGTAACATGGATCGCTGGAGAGGCAGGGTTGCTCTAGTCACTGGAGCTTCAGTGGGAATCGGAGCTGAAATCGCAAAGTCTCTCGTCCAGCATGGCATGAAGGTGGTCGGCTGTGCCAGAAATATGGAGCAAATTCAGGTAATTATACAGCTATGACGAATAAATCGGCATATTATGCTGCAGAAAAAAAAAAAAGAAATCGTGAGGAAATCGTAGGCACCCTTACCAAAAAGTAGTATACTTCAAGTTTATTTTAGTAAGTATACTTAAGTAAAGTTCAAGTATATTTTTAAGTATACTTTATGTAGTAAGTATACAAATATCAGTGTACTAGTAGTATACTTGTAAGATACTAATAGCA